TTGCGTGGATGATACAGACTTGCAATTTGCTGAGCTATAGTAATAGAGTGCTATTTCTTACACTGGAGCACTGTAACCAAAATAATTTCCTCTAGGGATCAATAAAGTATTCTGATTCTGATTAGTGACACCTAGCAACAGCCAGCAACTTCCAGCAAACCAGTTGCTAACTGGTTAGGGAATACGCATTTATTTTTGGTGACCGGACTCTGGGCCGCGTGACCAAGGATTTAGGTAAGTGAATACACCAGTGAGATGACATTTTAATCTAACTCCCCCTTACAAAATGAAATATGGTATTCCTGTTAAAGATGAAACATTGTGGTCATTTGCTTTGGACTTTAAAGCTTTAAGAAACCACAAATTCAAAAGAGAAACTGTTGACAGATGTGTTTTCTTCCAGTTATTGTCGCTGAACAGATTTCAAGAGGTGGGGAAAGCTTGATAAGCTCATGGTTTTGACTGCATTCAGCATCAACTTGCAACTTTCAGCACTGGTGATGTAGAGATAGCGACAGCAGTTCAGTATTTGTGCTGCAGTACAGGAATTTCTCAGAGGTTTTCAGCTGTAGCCGTCATTCCATTCCATGACTTTATCATATTCTTGGATCTTCTGTTTGATGTGTGATAGCTTGTTCTTCAGATACTCACAACGCTCTTTCTTTTCTAGGAAAGTGGGATCCTGTAAAGGTAAGGCAGAAACAGCGATCAGATTATAGTCTACCACCAAAAGACAAAGCCAAATGATAAACTCCTAAATCTGACATTGCTGTCCATCAAAAACATTGTGCAATGCTGTTGCAATAGGCAACATGTTGCTTCATTACAACACTGTGGTTTTCGATGACTCCATAGATAGTCCTGCTATCCCAAATACTCAACATAACAATAACTACATTCTAAAATTACACAATATCCGTGGAGATTAGTAGACCTTTTCATAACAGACCTCTTGACTTATAAATGCAAAAAAAGCACATGTGGAATTAATGATGGCTGAAGTTACAATATACTATGTCAGTGGATCCTCTCCCAAAAGGAATCAGGCCAGCATTAACACCTGATACATTACAGCAGAGACAGCAAATCTTTTTGATTTTGATTATAAATTTGACAGGTTATCATATCCCAGTGACCATTGAAACTAAACTAAAGTTAATTTAGCTTCAAAATAACTGAACAAAAAAAATTGTTGCAGAGGGTCACTTTTTGAAGGAATGATAAGAATCCTGTGCTTTTCCTGCAAACTCTTAAAAAAGTTCTTCTGTCTACAGGTTTTGGCTCACTTTTGTTTCTCTGGACTTTTTTCCAGCTGTATTTGACATAGAAAGAGCTTCCAGTTTTTTTCCGAGGACCTTTGTCGACCTTTAGCCCTTCAAAGCTCCGTTAAACCTGATCATTTATGGAGCAATAAAAAAATATGGAAGAGCAATAAAAGATATGTCTGTAAAATTACACCATGTTTAATCAATAAAGACTTTATAAAGGTATAAAAAAGTATCAGAGGGCTGTGGACCTGAGAACATTTCCATTCAGTTTAATTAAACTTTATTTACATAGCACCTAATCAAGAAAAGTCCCCTCAAGGTGTTTCATAAAAACCCTACAATGTAAGAGTGAAAACCCTTGAGAAAACAAAAAAAAGCACATAGCAGCAGTGGGAAGGAAAGATTGTCTACATGTTGCAACTGTTTACTGTCACCAGGGGGCAGTGTCACAGACAAACTGTCTTTGTCATGCAATCCTTGTTGATGATCTGTAATGTTTTCTTTGGGGTTTTTTTTTTTTGCTCCTCCCTTGTTTATGGTTAATGTTGCTGCTGCACAGTTTCAAAGAAAGGAAAAGCGTTTTATGGTAATTTAATTTTTATGGAAAGTTTCGGGTCACTATTCTGCTAAAAGACCCATCTATAACTATGGTTCTCATCCATTTTAAAGCACATAGCTGCTCCCCATGTAAGTTAAGCCATCACCATTAGCAGAAAGTGGACAGGCGTGCTTTCTACACATGATGAGTTCAGATCAGGAATATCTTTAAATGACTGACTGACTGTAATCAATGCGAAAGAGGGACACTATTAATATGTGAGCGCCAAAATTTTGGCTGGGTTGTAGGGGTTTCAATATTTAGTTCACTCAGTGACAAGGAAATCAATTTGTAACTTCTGTAATGTGTTTTTATGGAATTTTTTGGTCGACAATCTGTCTCTTCTCCATTAAAATGAAACTAAGAAGAAGTAGAGACTGTTTATACTTTTGTTAGTGAAGAAAATCACAAATTTAGTAGGGAAAGAATTACTTCCCCCATTGTATAAAACAGTAACAAGACAATAAGCTCACATTTTTCTTCCTCTGGTACTCCTGGAGGATTCTGTTAATGCGATCCACCTCCTACAAGAACAGGAAGAGAGGCATAGTTAACTCAAACACTGAAACTCAGTATGAAAATGAGTTGCAGTGACGCAGTACCAGCAGCTTTCTGATGAGAGTGAGGAATTTCAGGGTGGAGGGGAAATGCAGAGGGAACAGGAAGTCCAAACAGGGGAAGTTACGGGATGAGGAAATGAGGTACAATTTCAAAACAAAAAGACAGAGTGTAATATTCCAAACATGCAATCAAAATGCATCCTTATTCCATTTAGTTTCATTTGATTCCTGAGTGGGTTTGCTTGTTTTAGTTTAGCTTTTATAGTTTAAAATGTTTAATTTTAGTTTCATTTTATTCGTTTCAGTGTAACCTATTAGTGCCTTTTATTTTTAAAATAATTACTGTATTTATGCCAAATGCAACAAGCAAAATTTAAGGGAGTCAATGTAGATATAACAGTACAAACAGAACTTTTTCACGGTGGCTAACTCAGTCTTGTAGACATCTAAACACATCCAAAAAGGTCTCATTGGGTAGTTTACGCTTAATGTGAAGCTGTGCTAAGCAAACCAACATCAGTTCTTATTAAATTAAATTTAAGAGGTGTATATAAGAAATCACCATCTGGTTGGTAGGGTGCTGAGGTAAACTGCCCATCATAGCGTCCATCTCATTAAACTTCTTGAGGGTTGCCTGCACCTCTGAGTGGAGCTCTTTGTACTCTGCGTACTGGTCGTTAAACACGGCCCGGTACTGGTCCCGCTCCTCATCTGACCGGATCACTGGGTACTTACTGTAGGAAACAGGAATACAAAGAGCACAGTTTTAATGTCACAAGATGTTTTATCTTTTCCTAACCATATTTAAGTTATACATGGCGATAGTGGAGATAAAGATCCAATATGCTATCATGGTTGTGTTTACTATTTATAGTGTTTTACTATTCATTTATTTCATTAAATGAAATAAGTATTTTTTTTGTCTGAAATATGAGAAAGATTTAAAGTTTCATAAGTGTTTAAATAAATGGTAAATAGACAAATTAGAAAAGCTTTTAATATGCTATAACTATCTCTACTTTTAAGATTAGGCTTAAAACTTTCCTTTTTGCTAAAGCATATAGTTAGGGCTGGACCAGGTGACCCTGAAGTTCCTAGAGTATTTAAAAGTAGAATGGGAGGCAGAGCCTTCAGTTTTCAGGCCCCTCTTCTGTGGAACCAGCTTCTAGTTTGGATTTGGGATACAGACACTATCTCTACCTTCAAGATTAGGCTTAAAACTTTCCTTTTTGCTAAAGCATATAGTTAGGGCTGGACCAGGTGACCCTGAATCCTCCCTTAGTTATGCTGCAATAGATGTAGGCTGCTCGGGATTCCCATGATGCATTGAGTTTTTCCTTTCCAGTCACCTTTCTCACTCACTGTGTTAATAGACCTCTCTGCATTGAATCATATCTGTTATTAATCTCTGTCTCTCTTCCACAGCATGTCTTTATCCTGTTTTCCTTCTCTCACCCCAACCGGTCGCAGCAGATTGCCGCCCCTCCCTGAGCCTGGTTCTGCCGGAGGTTTTTTCCTGTTAAAAGGGAGTTTTTCCTTCCCACTGTCGCCAAAGTGCTTGCTCATAGGGGGTCATATGATCTGTATCTACTTGAGGCGACTTTTGTTGTGATTTGGTGCTATATAAATAAAATTTAATTTAATTGAATAGATATGTTTATGTTTAAGTGTGTGCAGGTGTGATTTTCCCTCGTCTTCTGTGATGTCTGAGCCTTTTTATTTAACATTTGAAAGGAACAACTGCAGATTGACTGTGTACTGTATCTACTTTTGTCTGACTCTCTTGACTTTCCTATTTTCTAGGTAACACTTACGCAATGTAGTCTGGCACTATAACAGGTTTAGGAATGTGCCCCGAAGGTATAGCTCCCTGCAAAACCTTTGCAGGAACTGCTTTTGGTGCAGTATGGATGGGAACCACTGAAGAGCCCTGGACCTTTTCTGGAATTGTGGGAGCAGGAGCAGAATCTGTTACCATCTGCAGAGACACAGCAACATGTTTACTGGATTACTGTAATACTTACAGAGAAATCATCAAACAAGCCTTTATTCTTTCTGCATTCCATCTTTAATGTGTGAAATCTTTTCTTACAGAATCCTTACCAATGACTGCACAGCTCGTATGTTTGATGGCTGCATCTGCACATGTAAGATATATAAAAATATAATTCATTAACATGTGATTTATATTTTTTACATCTCTATGTTTGACTTTTGAGCTGCCATTAAACCCTACAATAACAATAGGAGTTTGTAAATTTTGTTTTTGCTCTGTTATTTTTAAAATGTTGTCTTGTGTGCCTACTGAGCTCATATGTCTTGAATTGACGCCAAATATGTTTATTTTATTTTTATATAAACCCCTAAAATGGACCACAAGCCCACTGGCTTAGTGTGAAAAGCAGGACTATACATCCAGCACACATGTATTTAACCCTCATTCAGGGTTTTGCAAGCAAGGATACTAAAGCTACAACTATAAGCCAGCTAATCTGTACTATTAACCAACTGTTGCCATTAGCCATTACAAAAATACCATAAAGAAACTTAAAAAATAATTAATAACCAATTAAACTACATTAATACCTATTTGTCTGATATCCTTCCACTTGTAAACAATAATTATGGAAGGCTTAATTGTTCTTTGCTACATGTGAACAATGTTAACTGTGATTAGGCGCTTACTTGCAAATGACTTAAGAAATAAACTCCCTAGTGTCTCCCTCTCTCTTTTCACCCACTATGTGCGCACAGAGTACCTACACAAACTGTCCCTCACAATTACAATTTCAGTAGGTTAACAGTGCTTCCAATTTTAGTGCATAACTAGGCAAAATGACTAGTGTAGTTATGACCAGTGGCATAAATCATCTCCTTTAAATCTCCGAATTAAAAACGGTCACTTGCATGTTGCACAATTAATAAAAGAGAAAAAATACAAGGCAAAACTAGAGTGAACTATGTGTACCCCTTTTGGCAACACATGGGCAGGACTGGCAGACCCCACCCACTCACTCCCTCCCCTGGAGCTTGTGTGCAAATTATGTGGTTTGTTGTTGCAGTGCAGTCTGCGTCTGCCTGTGTGGACATGTTTGAGACTGTTTTTAAGTTATCAAAGTGAAGAACTCTTGACTGAATGTAAGGAATCGCTAGACCCAATTTCATAAACAGAGCAAACCTAAACAAAGCAAGCTTACCTCCTGGCTGTACCTCTCCCGGTATTTACGTGCAGCTTCGTGTCTCCACAGCTTGAGGCACACAATGGCTCCAATCAGATACACGAGCATTGTGACAAAGAGGAAGATAATGGCAGCAATCTGGCCTGCTTCCGTTCTGCAGAACGCTCCGTTAATACCATTGTTGAACATTGGGTAGGAGCAGAGACCTCCACGATTTGTGTCTCGAACATAGACAATGCCTGGAGAATAAAAATATTATATTATATATGCAGTTCAAAAACTGATTTAAAAAGAGACTGAATGTTTAATTCATTTTAATTTTAAAATCATTACATTATACCACCAGACAAAGTTATGCACTGGAATTACCTCAGTTTTACCTGAATCTATGTTTTTTTACTTGATGCTTCAATCCCTGCAATACTGTATTTCTAAGCACAGCAAATTAATCAGAGTTGTAGTTAATATTAACATATCTGACTTCTTTATATTTGCAATTCAGTGTTTGGTTCTATAGAGAGTATGAGAAGTATATGACATGACCCAGAACCCCAAATCACAGCCTTTATCTTTCTCTTTCCTTTGTCAATTTTCACACACCCTTGGGTTAGTGATTAACTCAGACTGGCTCCACATATATATTGAGAACCAAGTTGTCATTAACCCAAGTATACCGAATAGCTTCACTTCAACCTTGCTACAATGGCAAAATAGTTGAACTGAAAATTGTTTTCTCTTTTACATTTTTAACTGCATTCCACCAATAACTGGGTTTGAAATACAGGACTCGCCTGTTAATGAGTTTTCTATCATGCATCATAACCGCTTAAGCTTTAATTAAGAGGGAGTACTGTGCCAATTTCTAGCTTGATATTGTTTATTTCTGGACTCTATTAAAGAAGATTTCTATGATTCGCAGTTTAAAATAATCATTCATACTGGGCCATGATGCATTTCTCAGTTCACTGTCTGCACAAAACAAGATGTTTTTTAGGTCCCCTGAACAACTTTCATATACTGTATATAAAAGATGAATGTAGGCATTGAAAAGTGACCCACTGACTTCTAGACTATGCATTTTGAAATTAATGCATAATTTTTAAGTCCTTAGTTGTCAAAGGAGTCTTGGCAAACTTGGTTAGCAAGCCACAGAACACACTGTAAAGAGTTCAACTTTCTTCTAATTTCAAGAACATACAGCTGTCTGGGTAAAAATCCAAGTAACTACACCTAGAATTGCTTTAACAAAATTTATCAGGTTGAGTAAAAACAAACAAAACAGTAAAATTCCAAGATTTTAGAACGGCAGTCTATGGTGATGTCTGGGTACTTTCTATTACCCTTGCTGTAGAGTTTTCAATGAAATTACATTGAAGATGTCTACCACGCTGAAAAAAACTATTTAAAAATATTATTTTAAACAACAGATTCTCTGAATAATCCACTGAACTGTCTTCACTGACAAGATACAGCTATGTTTCCTACCTGCTGCCATGTACAGCAATGCCAAGGCCAAGTTTATGATAAACTCAGTCAAAGGCCACCAGGAGGAGTCCAGCAGGATGGTGCGGTAGTACATGGTCATCCCGAGTACTAACATGATCACAGTTACCACCCATGCCAGCCCTGCCACTACCAACACAAAAGGGGTTTTGGGGCCTGTGTAGTAGTAGGTCCCGTCTATGCTGCCACCATAGTAACCTGCTCCATAAGCTCCACCAGGAGACGAATATCCAAACATGTTGAACCACTCATTGTCTTTGTGGATATAAGCACAGACACAGGCAAATACACCTGCTCCCAGCAGCAGCTCCACACAGCCCAGAATCCTCAGCAGTCCAGCCCAGGACTTCATGTAGGCATAGCGCTGATGGTACTCCTGCACTCGCTCACTGTAGGTCAGACCTGTATGGTAGGTGTGCCCAGACACAGAGTCATGCCCATCCCTTGCTTCCAGAAGCTCTTTGCGTGAATTGTAGCTGCCGCCTGATCCGCCATATTTATCTTGGAATGACGCAGGAAGAGAGGGGGAGTGTGGGGGGGAGCAGCGAACTCCGTCTGTTGTGCTGTTGTTATTGCTTGAAGACGTAGGCATGGACCACGTCTTTTTACTACTGCGATTGCTTCCTCTGAAGAAGTTCTTCCATGAGTTGGGGATAAAGCGGTGGACTGGTTTGATGTCAATGGCAGGATCAGGCTCTGGATCAGTGTTGTCTTCACTTCCACTGGGGTCAAACTCAGGGCCAACAGGAGGCTGAGCAGGCAAAGGCGGAGGTGGAAGAGGGTCGGTGCTCTGAGCAAGATGAGGAGCTCTCTGCTCTCTCAGGGGCTGTTGATCATAGGAGTCTAGTAAAGAGCTGGGTACCTGGTCATAGTGGGGCGCATGGCGGACACGCTCAGTGCGTCCGTAAGAGCCTCCTCCATAGGACATGAGGATGGTGATGGTCCCTAAATGCACAGACATGTTTATAAGTTATTATAACTAAGTATTTGGTGTACTGTAAGATATATATATATATATATATATATATATATATACGTACTATTTAAACATACATGGTCCCTAACAGACAGCACCTTCTGATCCTGTTAATTGTAACTTCTCTTAACAATTCATCACTGAGCAAGTCCATTAATTTTTGAGACTTGAAACATAGTTGACTGGTTGACTAAACACTCCCTAATTAAGTATTCAATGAAGTGTGATCCATCAAGTAATTATGAAGTGTGCATTTGTTTTAGCTTCATTCTTATTATCAACTTAAATAACAGAAGAAAGAAAAAAAGGAGAAAGAAAAAAGGAAGAAAAAAATCAAATTAAGTCTCAGATTGATGATGATCTCATAAATGATACTCAAGCCCAACATTCACGAGGAGGAAAAAGTACACCAAACTAAAAAAAGATAAGCCCCAGAGTACCAGAAGTCACCAGCAAAACCCCTCTTCATACAAAAAGCCCTTGTGATTGAAGATGTTATCCAAGCTTCCTCCATGCAAGCTGAATAAAGACTGTATTTTTGTGCTGCAAACAAGTATGGAGCATGAATTCCCCTGTTGCCTCAATAAGCTATTCAGGAATGCTTTACTTACTGCAAGCTGCTACTGCAGACAGCACAAAAATACATTCTTACTAACTAATGAGCCTTTGAAAGACAGTTTCTTGTAGCAGATTTGATCTTGAGAGGTTAAAAAAAAGTATGCTTGAATACCTCGTTTACACGCAGTCACTCAACACGACTTACATTGGCTTGCCGGTCAGAATGCAAACCTTGTATGACTATACAGTGTACAGATGAATCACCTGTAGAGACAGACAAGGGAAGATATGAAGATGAGTTGTAAACTCCATGCTTTGATCAACTGTCTTATCATTTAATGCACTGTACTTATGCTGAAGCTAAACTGGCGAAAGCTGGCAATGTTTCTCACACAAGCACATTAACCTTACCTTAGTTTGAAAGTTTAGTCTCTGCTAACCAGCTACTTCTGTTCCCTCTCGCCTCTCCAGCCAAAACTAACATGAATTGAGTTGCCAGTCAGTGAGTGCCTTTCACCTGACCATCTCAGAATCGGCTGTTTTTTGTATGACCTAATTATGCTTAATGAAGCTATCAAACAATCAACATTTTACTGTTGTACAATGAGAACTATCCAAGGTACAGGACCTTAAAGAACACTGGGGTGGACATAGCTCTAGAGTTGTCACATCACTAGAATTTCAAACTCTATACCCATACCCAGGAAAATACTTGCTATTCGATACCATTTTCAATATCACTGGGAAGATGTTGACTCTGCCCTGCAACAACATAAGTAATGGGGAAGAAGTCACATTAACTAGTTAATGTTCAACTAATTTCACCATTGTGAAAAAGAATATAAAAAGTGTAACAGGTTCACTTTAAGCTTTCTCAGAGTATTGACCAATCAAACGTCTCCTTTGGTTCAGGCTTATCACAACTGGTCAATGCAAGGAGAAATTTTCTTTTAATATCACATAAAGGGTCAATAATTAAAATAACCGTCTTATTAATTTATTTAACAGATTATTATCATCAGCCGTAGAGTAGTATTTTAAATTCTAGTATGATATTCATAGCTGGAGTAAAGGACCTGAATTCTTCAGCTGTGACTAAACTGTAGAGTAGCGGCTCACGACGAGGACTGTTAGTTCACTTTTGACTTTATCACCAGTTTATCACTTGCTTTAATAATAAACAGGTAACGAGAAAATAGGATCACTTTGTAGTCCGTATCAAATGATATCACTGCGCGCATGGAAAGAGGCCTGGACCTGTGGACTTCATAGTTTGAGCTGGCACACAGCCAGAGGGTTCGGGCAAGAGAACAGGTCAGCCCAATATTCTGGTCTGACTCTATGTTAAGCTAATATCGTTTTCAACGTAGTTTGGAGACCGCGATATGAGTTTTTCTTCCGAACACAGCTGTTTTCACATGTTTGGCTGAGTGAACAGGAGGTAAATTTCACTCGAGGACTCAACAATTTGACTCAGCCTTCTGTTTACCGCCTACTTTTCGACATAAAAACTTTTATTCCGACACACCAACCGACTCCTTCTATTATTCTGCGAAACACATAACTCCGCGCTCTGTGTAGTGGAACCATCGCGTTGGAGGTCGCTTACCTTATTCGCTTTCCTTCCTTTTCCCGTTCTTCTCTCTCCCATTTCAGTAACGTTAACCACAGGTTTCACTCGAAGGCAAGCACGTGACTCGCCCATCCCTTTGACGTCACTACACAGAGGAGCAGTTTACCTGGTTGGAAAAAAGAGAAGTTCAGCAGCAGCTCACCCGACGCCACCACAAACTGACGCTGACTCATTTAGATCTTCATCCACGTTACCACTTTAATCTGCAATATAATAATAAAGTGTCACTGCTGCTGCTGTCTGGACAGTAATCAAATATAAGACATACTGCGCTTTCATTAAGGTCACTGAATACCACGCTAATAACACAACAATAACAGAGAGAACTGGTCCTAGCTGGCAGCTTTATGAACTGCGCGGAATTTGAACTGTTGACATTTCTCCTTAGATGTACAAAGAAAAGTAAATGATCAAGGACAAAGTATGACAAAGTTCTCAAAGACAGCTAAAAAGACACGTATGACAACAGAGAGATCCAGTATACCTACACAGAGACATAATTTTCACAACGAAGACAGAATGGTTAATAGAACACGTCAGTGACAAAACAACGTCACAATAATACACACTTAAATGATTATTTTATTTATTTTGTACTGTAAAAATTAATATTTTGTCGAGGGGGTGCAAACCTAGAATTAAATATATCATATTATTAATTCGTAAAGATAAAGGCGGCTTCTCTCACACAAGTCTCCGAGATTGCAACTTTGCTGCTCAACTCAAAATAGTTATACAATGGTGACATGATACTTGTGAGGCCCAATGGAAAAAAATATAGAATATGTGTGGGGTCATTCCAATACAAGCCCTGATAGGAGATCAGAAACTGACAACAGCTTGTCAGAAAGAACTGAACCCCTTGGCATCTTTTACATTGCTTATTTGGTTTGAGCGAGTAAAAGAAATAAACCTAAGGAACCACATTTTCAGGTACTTAAGTAGGTGGCTTATGAATCTGAGTTTAAACCAAACCAAATGGATTTAAAATTTAAAAACTGGTCACATAAAGGGATTAATGTATATTGTGAAATTATGGATAAGATTGGCCTTCAAAGTTTTCAAATATTAAAAAAAATATATGAGCTAGGAAAAAGTGACTTTTTCAGATTCCTACAATTACAGCAATATTTGTCCTCAAAAGTGACTAAAGAAATTAATACACAACCTAATGAAATAATGAATCTGATTTTGCAAACATACTTTAAGGGATGTAAGTCAATAATCTCTAAACTCTACCAGAGTATATTAAAAAGTAGGGGAACATCAACAGATTATATTAAAAAAAGATGGGGGAAAGAGTTGTCCACTGTTATATCTTCTGAACAATGGGACAATATGTGTGAGACTGCTACTTCAACCTCATCTTCTGCCAACTGGCAAAAATTTAGTTGGAAAAACTTGGTATGATTTTTCATAACACCAAAACAACAAACAGGGGGAAATTCCTCATGCTGGGGGAGCTGTGGGAAACTGTTGCAAACTATACCAACATATTCTGGTCTTGTCGAAAACTCTCTAAATTTTGGGGAGATGTCAAAGATAGAATAGACTATAGGCTTTAAATCAAAACAACGGTCCGTCATAACATTTTATTTAGGAGACTTACCCGAAGAATTAATTAATTAATGTACTGACCCCACTGTTCTGGATGACTGGTTGAGCGTTGTTGAGGAGATTCATAAAATGGAAAAACTTACCTTTTGGTTAAGGTTGCAAGCTAATATTTATACCACAAGATGGTGTAATCTATCCGAAATGAGTATGGGTCTTTTTCTCTCTCCCCCTCCCTCACACACACCTTTTTTTTCCTTTCCTGTTTGCGCCTACTCACAGCTATATAAACTTCTGCAGGCCTCTCCTAGGCTGCTCATACATCTGTATATATGTTGTCAATTCATGAAAATAATGTCATGTTCTCATTGCCAGAACTGCTTTGTAGGGAAAAAGCTGTGTTTTTCAGTCAACTGCTTGTTTTTTTTGTTTGTTTGTTGTTTTCCTTTTCTGTTATAAAAATATTTTAAACCTTTATATTAAAAACTAAGTAATAAAAACATTTTATATTCTGTTTTGTCTTGTTGTTTGTTTTTTAATGGAAGAACTGTGCAGACTGCTTAAAGCTGCTTGAGAGTTTGAAGAGTGCAAGATATTTGTCATATCCTAAAGGTTTTCCAAATGTAGTCACTAATTGTGCAAACGCAGTAGTCATTCAGTTTGCATCTCAGTATCTCTTGTATCAGTTTGAACCACATAACAAGTGTTCTGATCCCACAACAACCATGATTTCCACAATGCTTTGCAAACACTTTATTACACAAATAACAGTTACTGAAAATAGTACTCTTGCAGCAAAACCAGTGTGTCACAACTAATATTACAGCATTCACATGTAAAACATGGCACCGTGTTAGGAAATCATTTAAACATTATGATATATTGAGGATAAATACAAAAAGAAGTGGTGCAGACTACATAAAAAAGGAAAAAAGAGTAACTGTAACTAAACCTCAGAATCCTGAACAAACTTGAATATTTTGAATAAACAAAAGTCTTCTTCCACTATCTTTGAGCTTCCAGTATGTGCATGAAGTGTGTTCAGTGAATTTTCCTTAATTAATTAATTAATTAATACACATTAATTTGGACTTCACTTGTTCCGCACTGCTGCCATCAGACTGAATATGTCTTTATTGATTTTTACATATAAATGCTTTTATTGATTAAGTCAGAACACCCAGTTGGTTTAGGCTGCTGGGTAGGACAAGACAAAACAAAAACATATATATTTTGTGTATATATATTTATAAGCTGGGTTTAGCGTTATGAAGCTTGAGAAGTGGTTCTTCTAAAGCAGGGGTAGGGAACTCCAGGCCTCGAGAGGCCTGCAGGTTTTAGATGTGTCCTTGATCCAACACAGCTGATTTAAATAGCTAAATTACCTCCTCAACATTTCTTGAAGTTCTCCATAGGCCTGGTAATGACCTAATCATTTGAGTCAGGTGTCGTGACCCAGGGTGAGATCTAAAACCTGCAGGACACCGGCTCTCGAGGACTAACGTTCCCTACCCCTGTTCTAAAGAATGATTAGTGCACAGAGATTCAGGCATATATGAATTTATACACTATAAAATTTTCTGAAGGGAAATAAAATCACTATGATACAAGCTCTACTGGCAGCAATTTTCATCCCATGAATGGTATGTGTTGTTATGGCACGTGATTAAAACAAAAGGCAAGACAGATGCAAAGAGGCACAGAATCACGTGTAAAAAAAAAACTGATCCAACTTAAGATTAAGTGAAAAATTGAAATGATAATGAAACGGTGTAAAATCATTGCGTTTAAGGGTAGAAGTAACCATATTAGGTCATGGTGACAATAACAGTGTTTGCGCCGCCCCCTACATTTCCTTTTCAATGCAACAAGCACAATGACCAGCAAAAGTGGCAGTAAGTAGGTTACCATATAGATAACACAATAACTGAAACTGCAAACAAGATCAGATGTTTTAAATTTGGGAAACTTTCCCAGAGAAAGCAATCTTTTATGAACAAGTAATTTATTAAGGGATATTATCAAATCATAATATAGTGACCAACAGATTGAATAAACTGATTAGAGAGGCTGGCTGTGTGATTGGCTGCAAACTGGACACATTTGAAGCATTGGTGGACAGGTTGTCACCATTGTCCATTATGGATAATCCTGACCAGCTACTCTAACAAACAGATTTAGCTCTGCTGCTACAAAAACAGATATAGGAAATCTTTTATATGCCATCTCCCTATAGAGGGAGATGGCATATAAAAGCTACCATACATTATTATAATTATAGTTAGTCATTTCAGTGGCTGTAAAAAAAAAGAATTTCCCAAATACAGGATTAAATTTTTTTTTCTCATCAAATCTCATATGCAGTGGGTTTCACCACACAAGCAATTTTTATTCAAGTGAGTGTGATATTTAAATGCATCCTGTGTAGTCTCTGTCTGGTCTTGCGTATTATTACAAACACTTCATCAACTGTTGTTGTGATTTGGTGCTGTATAAATAAAACTGAAAAAAATGAATTGACAATATTTCTCTATTTCACAATTCAAATCACACAATATCACATGAAATGCCACTTTTGCTAAAAACTTGACAAACAGAAAAATGACAGAATTCATCAGAGTATTTTTTCGCCATGAACAGCAAGAATATAGCTGACGAGGAAGCCAAGTCCACAATGACTAGAGTGAGAGCTACATTATGGTGCAGGACAGTTGGAGGCTGATTAATCACCATCAAGATGAATCCTTTGTTAATAAAACAAAGGGAATGCATGTTAAAAAAAACACTGACTTTGAAGGCGGACAGCAATCCAACATCAGCCTTTAACAGCTAAAGGGGAAATGATCTCATTCTTTTAACAGATTTGCATTGTTATTTTAAGGCCAAAACCAACTCCAGATTTTTCAAAATATTGTTAATAATCTCAGTAAAAGCAGGTTTGATTTGGGGAAATGAAATGAGTGACACTGTGACATGAGTAGATTATGCCAGAAAAGGCTGTATGAATACCATAGCTGAATTAAATAAATAACTTATCAAAATATGTTTCACATACAATAACACACACACACACATTGGCAGCTGGTACAACAGTTACACATGTGATGAATAACTACATCAGCAATTTTAGCAGAAGGTTGGTGGAAGGTTTGCAGTTGGCCCCAGAACATCTAAGAGGAGGACTGAGGCGGCGGCAGAGCAGAGTACTCCTCATTTTCAGAGTCGCTGCTGTCCTCATCATTTCTCTCTTGGTCACTGCCTTCAGTACTCAGCTGGTCAAAGCCCTGACGACTATAACCCTTATGGGATGGAAAGAAGTTTCCCAGATTCAGACTGCCCACTGCTTTACCTAGTAAAGGTTAAATACCAGAGAGAAGGAAATGAAGATGTCAATATGACGATAAAAATCTACAGATTTAAGAGAAATAATTATCAACTTAGAATGATGGCTTCAGTTCACACACTGGCAGTGCATTATATTGAGGATATTCATTCATCCCTGTGTAAAGCTATGGTCAATAAGATGATGACATAAGAGAGGATCTATTTTCATTTTCTGAAATGTTTTCTAGCCTGGTCATGCCTTCAACAGACACTAATGAAGATGAATGAACACTGCTTTAGACATAATGTGGTAAAGGAAGGGGCAGAAGGGGGTTAAATGTTAAAAGTTTTTATATATGACTGACATTTTACAATATTTTTCCTTAATAATGGTTTAGTATCAAAACATTTTTTTAAAGAAGACAAAAGAGAAGAAAGAAGGAAGAGTGATAACCTAAATTTGTGTTGGTTACAAGTAAACGGGTCTTAGCTAAAACAAAATCAATAAATGATCTTCTCTCATAGCCTGTTGGTACTGCAGAACTGTTGTTTTTTTGTGACAGCTGAACTTTACAGTATGAGCATACTAC